CCCTATTATTATGTTATCCTTCTTTTATTCTTTAAAATAAAAAAAAAAAAGAGGACACAATGAAGAGAGCTCACAGACCCCCACCCTGTTATGCAAATTTCTGCTCCACTGGCAGGTCCCAAACCAAATAAGGAAATGTTCTTGCCTCCCCAACCACCTGGAACCCTGACTCTATCAAATCTGTAGTTGTAGCCCCACTTGGGCTCGACATTCTAAACTCTTATGTTAGATGTTGTCTGCTGGCTAAAAACACTTGTTTGTCTCTCCTCGGCCTCCGTGGGTAAATCATCCTGTTTTGCTGCAACAATGTGTTCTCAGCTTCAGCACTGACTCCCTTGAGGGCCCCCCTTGTTTGACTGCCTATTGTATTTCTATCTAAACTTAGTTATCTGTAATATGAGGACACCTCCAAGCCAAGATGGCCCTATGACCTATGTAGCCCAGGCTGGCCTCGAGCTCATCAGGATCCTCCTGTCTCAGCCTCCCCAGTGCTGAGATTACAGCCTGGGGTCTAGGTCCCCTTCTAGTAAACAAATCCCCATCACAGCACTTCCTGTTGCCCTGATGACCTCCAAAGGCCCCTTCCAAGTGCCACCACATAGAGCCAGGGCTTCCCATCACAGGCTCTGTGTTGAGGGGAGCACAGTTCACCCCTTGCTCCTGCCACACAGGTGAGGAGCTGCAGGTGCAAAGGTGAGCAGGGTCAGTGTCCAAGGTCACCAGCAGAGGACTCCGGCATCAGACTGCCATCAGGGCCCAGGGTCCCAGCTGCTGAGCTACGAAGCTTCTTGCTGCAGAGAAGGACACACTGATGGCCACCCAGAGGACCAAAGAGCTCTTCCCAGGGGCACACACACCCCACAAAGCTTTCAGGGAAGAACATCTCTTCATCTTCCTTTTTCAAATCCTCTGTCCTTCCTTTTTCCATAGACACTGAAGGAAACTGAGACTCAGGCTCTAGTAGACAAGTTTTTCTCTAAAAGATATGCCTGGCGTGGGGGCATGTGTCAGCCTGGACTACATAGTGAGTTCAAGACCAGCCTGAACCTCACAGGGAGACCCCATCTCAAAAAATCAAAATAATAATAACAATAATAAAAATTTTCTAAAACCCTCAGGTGTAGTGGCACATGCTTGAAATCCAAGCATCCTTGGGGGACTGAGGCACAAGCGTTGCCACAAGTTTGAGGCCAGTATGGGCTGGATTGAGAGTTCAAAATCACCCTGAACTATAATGAGGTCCTGTCTCCAAAAAAACCAAAAAGTAAGTAAATAAAATGAAAAGCAAAACAAGCCAGGTACCTGTAATTCTAGCACTTGGGAGGCTGAGGCAGGAGGACTGCTCAGAGCTCAAGGCCAGCCTGAGCTACACAGTGACTTTGGGCTGGGGATGTGGCTCAGTGGTAGAGCTGTTGCCTTGCATGCACAAGACCCTAGGTTCAATCCCCAGTACCCACTCCACACACACACACACACACAAAGACAGGTAAGAAAAACATAATGAGTTCAAGGCCAGCCTGAACTAGGTAACAAGACCCTGAATTAACAACAAACAGATAAATAAAACAAATAAATCATCTGTGCAACCAATTCTCCTGGCTCTGATTCCAGGAACCCAGTATAACCTTCTGGTGATCATTTACCCTGTTCATTTTTTTATACTGGTGCTCCAGTTCCAGATTTGCAGCTGATGTTTTGCATTCTGAAGCAACAGCTATCCTCCCATAGCTACCTCTGTCTGTTGTGAGACCGCTTAGCAAGGGCAAGTCCCTGGATCTCACCACCGCTGGGAACAAGGACAAGGAAGCACCAAGGTCTCCGAGGCCGAGGAATGGTGGCGTCTCTCAGCCCCTGGGGCGGCCAGCAACCCCTCGAGCTGCACTGCTCCACAGTGCAGGGCACGCCTGGCCCACACGAACATCTCTCCCTGGCAGCATCCAGGCAATCATGACTCGGGGTGGCCGGCCTCACTCATGAGATCCAGATCTTCAATTCACGCAGGGTTAGGCCCTAAGAGGAGAACCCTAGACCCGGAAGCCTCTGCATGTCACAGGTGGCTACTGCCACAGCCTCCCTGCGATTATTTTCTCGGAATTTCTCCCATCAATAACGACAGGCCTCTGGGTGAGCTTCCGAGCAGCCCAATCGCAGCGCGGGTCCTTGACTCTCAGAGGGCAGCCTGGGGTGAAGCGGTCCATAAGAACATGAGCAGCTCCGTGCAGCTCCAAGCCGTTCCCAGCACCGGAGGCCCAGCCCAGGTACCGTCTGGGTGCATTTGCTTCCCTGTGCCACAGCCATCGAGAGCGTCCAAGCCATCGTCATTGCTGACCTCATTTCTCTTAGCAACCACCAACTACTGTCCCTGCTTCCTCCTGTCCACTACTAGTGTTCATTCTTTATGTAGCACCTACCTAGAGAATTTGCTTTTTTTTCTTGTCTTTTAGAGACAGGGTCTCGCTATGCAGTTCAGGCTGGGCTTGAGCTCACTTTGTAGCCCAGGCTGGTCTCAAACTCACAACAATCCTCCTGTCTCAGCCTCCCGAGTGCTGGGATTACAGGCGTGCACCACCACGCCTGGCTTGTCCCAGAGATTTTAAACAATTCATCAATTTTTGGGTATGAGGGATTGAACCCAGGGCCCTCGAACTGAGCTATAACCACAGCTCTTTTTTACTTGTTATTTTCTCACTGAATCACTACATTGCCCAGACTGGGCTCAAACTTGGAGTCCTCCTGTCTCAGCCTCCCGAGTGCTGGGATTACAGGCGTGCACCACCACGCCTGGCTTGTCCCAGAGATTTTAAACAATTCATCAATTTTTGGGTATGAGGGATTGAACCCAGGGCCCTCGAACTGAGCTATAACCACAGCTCTTTTTTACTTGTTATTTTCTCACTGAATCACTACATTGCCCAGACTGGGCTCAAACTTGGATCCTACTTCCTTAGCCTCGCAGAATTCTGGGATTACAGGCGTACACCGTAGGGGCCTTTGTAGTTTTGTATATAATATGCATTCAACTTGAATTCGCAATGAGAAAGGACAGTCACTCTCACTTTACAGATGAAAGCCAAGGTCTGAAAGAGGGGGAACGGTTTGTCCGGAGTCAGGAAGCATCTCTGGTTCTGATTTTCTTTTTTGGTACTGGGACTCGAACTCAGGACCTTGCGCTTGCCAGACAGGTGCTTGTGCCGCTGAGCTATATCCCCGGCTCCCCTGGTTGTGATTTCCAATAAGCTTCTTGTTCATTTCTAAGACTGTTTTGCTTTGCTCCAATGTCATGCTTTTTTCTCCAAAGTGACTAAATCGAAGACGTATTTTTACTTTATTTGCAAAAAATTGTTCTTCTTCATAGGTTTCTTCCGAAAATGTATGAAATGGGACCTCGAATGGAAGGCTAGGAAGTCACCCTCCACCAGGTCTGGCCCCTTTAGGACCCCTCACCGCTGTTCTGCCATTCTCTTGCCGCGCATTCCCGCTTTCATTCTGGTCAGCCACCGAGCCCTCCAAAGGCTCCGCCCCCTTCAGGGCCGAACTGCCCAAATCCAAGATGGCGTCAAGCGCGTCGGCCCTAACGGAAGTGATCTCACGCTACTCCGGAAGGGAAGGCGGGAAGCGAGCGAGCGGGTGGGTGACTCGCGGTGGGGCTGTGGGTGGGGCCGTGTCCGAGTCCCTGGCTTTCACGCGTGGGGCTCGCCAGCTCCTGGGAGCCGGGTCAGAACACAGGGCCAGGGGCGTCGGAGGGAGTCGCCGCGCGGCTTGCCGCGGGCCCTGGGAGCCGGCGTCCCGCCCTCGGCGGCCTCCGCG